TGAGTAATTTTGAAGCAAATTTCTTCTTAAATGTAAAGAGTTGGGAGTTCTTTTTTGTCATCATGATAAACTTGATATCTTTAGTTTTAAGATTGATGAAGACGTCACTTGGGGATGAGGGGAATCAAAATGGCTTTTCCCAGTATTTTTTGTATGTGTTACATTCAAAACAAATAATCGACTATTTGAGAAAATAATCTGCAGAAATCCTGCACACAAATGATATTCAGAAAAGTACAGGGGGGATTTTCCTTGTGTGCCAGGCAGGCATGGGAACAATTCAGAAATATAGTATTTAGGCCCATTAATCACAAGATGTGTATTTTGTGTTCCGGCTAACTTCCCCTCCAGCACGACTGCAGCTGTAACAGGAGGCTGGCCTATTGTTCAGACTAACAAGGGCCGCAGAGGTCACTTGCATTTTCACAAGAGCTTTGCCAGAGGGGTTGAGGAAAGCAAGCGGCGCACCAGTCTGTTTAGTATGGATCTACACTAAAGCTTTTTCTATAAAGTCACATCATTCCCAGTCTATTATAAAGGGGGATGGATTAGATTAAGTGAGATTATGCAGAGAGGGGCTCCCTAAAAAGAGCAAAAATAACATGCTCAGTACTTAGCAGGCGAGTCAACAGTGGGATTAAGCCAAAAGGACACGTTCAAATCCAATGCTAATATGCACAATGGCCGTCCTTCCACACACTCAACTTTTAAGTGGTCGCTAATGTTATTGCTTCAGATTTCTCCGCACATATCGTAAGGTGCAGGCGAAGCTGAAAACGGACTTTTATTGTCATATTCTGGTCATAAAACTGAATTTAATCCATAATTTGAAGGAAAAAAAACAAAATAAGTGATTTCGCTTCACTCCATTAAAACTGTCATCCCCGCTTCCCCCTGCTGTCAAGTCCTCTTTACGGGTACAGTTTGTACAACAACAACTCCGAGCACCAACGCAACCGAAAAAAAATGCACAAAGTGGTTGCACAATCTAACATGATTAAATGATGTGTGGTCTGGCGTCACTCCCAGCACCTCTCCCATCCCTCACTCGGCTCTGTATCTCCCCTCCTGCAATAACGCAAACACACACACAGATTCCCTTTCTCTGAGCCGTGTTGTGAAAATAGAAGCTTCATATTAACAGTCAACAGTTAAGCTGATAGGTACAGTCAAACCATTTTCTCAATCAGAAAAAAAAATGTGTGGATTTCTGCCCAGGCCGCGTTGCTGCAGCTCCGTGTCACAGAGGTGGGGCATCACGAATCACCACAAACACACACATGAGGAATGCATGATAACACAGAAGCCCTACTGGAATTAAACCGATACCAAATATCACATCACAGGCTAAATACAGACATATTGGCAGCAGAATACCGACGCATGAGAAGGACGATTGATACGAGCAGAATTTCTTTTTATCTTTGCTTGCGTGTTTTGTGAAATAATGATTAATACTCAAATGAATCACTTCAGTGAAACTACAGGGCAACCTTTGACCTGACGTGTAAGAGAAGCCCCTGCTGCCCACCTCCATATGTTTCGGTCATGCCCTTCTTTAAAAACCAATTAGATAGAAAGTCTTTCCCTCAGATTTGGAAACCAACAGCAATCACAGCATTGTTTGGGGATCCGCCTCCCACTCCACCGCTTCCAAAATAAAAGGCAGACTTAGTAGCGTTTGTGACCTTATTAATCAGACGTCTGATTTCACTCTCATTTCTTATTCCTCTTGGATGAAGGACATTTTTACTTTGTTAGAATGAACCAATGAATGGTTCACTTGCCAAATTTAATAAAACATGAGGACCTTTTGTGCACATGGTGGGGGGGGTTGGTTTTTGGTGCCATTCCAGAGAAACAGCTTTCATTCAATGTCTGTGGCCACTTTAATGTACATTATTAGTTATTTCAATAATATTTATCTGTCATGTGGATTCTGGACTTGTCTTTATTTCCTATCTGGTTCTATCTACGTTCAGTGTTTCTCAGTTTTGTGTTTGACTGCAACTTGAAAAGTAAGGTGACCTTCGTGTGATGTTGAAAATCGAAAAAAGAAAAAAAAAATTCATATTTTGAGATTCTCTTTTTTCTTAATTAGGTTTGATAATTGATTATACCTTAGAAATTATTTTCTGCTTCTTCACAGGCCAAAGTTTGAAAAAGACAACATAACTATCATGAAAAGTTACATTAGTTTCTCTGAAGTTATGGCGTAAAGAAGCACTAAAACTAATCCAAGTGTTTGATTAAATGTACTTTCAACTCAATCTCACTGCCAGAGTTACTGCAGAATCAAAATAAACATTTACAGCGTTATAATTGCGCACAAGCAGCATCATAACAGGATGAATAAAAATGAAGTGCTGTTTGACACAAAGTAAACCTGCACGATTAAACAGCTACAAACAGCCCAGTGACACACTTTCTGCACCCAGAGCTCGCCGCTTGGCCCCCGCGTCGTTCCTCTTTACTCATTGAAAATAGCCATACCAGTGAGGTGATTCATCCCAGGAGTTTATCTGTCGGGCAAAGACAACACAGAAAAGGACCTTGAGCGAAACCTACACAAACCTCCCACAGGCTCTGACCGCAGAGGAAGAGCAGTCGCTCGCTGGCTCAACCTTTTTCCTGTTAGTGAGCTTTAGAGAGCTCTCAGTGCGCGGGAGCTGCTCGCCGCAACTGGAATTCCCAAGTCGAATCAATAACATTATGACATTATACACCATCTAACAGCCCTGTTTACCCGCTGCTTAAGCACACATTGTTGGTACAAAATATAAGAGGCTCGGGCTGCAAACCTTTGGGAATGGGTTGAGTTTAGCCGCTATAACGCAGACTGGACTGTCATGTTTCAGTATTTATCCCTGACTGTCAGGTGTAAAACGACACCGCACATGTCTCAGGATTGTTCTCAGACAAAAGGAGCAGCAGACGCAGCACATACACACACACACAACATTTCAGCAGGCGAGCGTGGCCAGTTGAGACGCACACCGGCTCTCGGCCTCCTCTCAGGCCGGCCAGCAGTGCTGCTGGAGGTAATGAGGCCTCTTGTGTGTCCTCTCTGATCTGAGAGTTGAATAATTTCCCATGTGGCACAGCCATTTCCAGCTTCTGCCTTTACTCTCACCTCGTCAGGTGGGTGGAAAGGCGAGAGCGAAAACTCCCACCTGACACTACAAAAAATATCTTGCCATTGTCAATCTACAGTGATGCACACAGACCCCAGACAAGAGAAAAAAAAAATTGCTTCAGGGTTTTATGTCGCAAAGATATGTGTGATTTAATCTTTGGGAAATAAATCTTCATTTTCTGTATTTACTTTGAGGTTTCGAGAGTCAGGAGCAGCTGAATGTCCTTTTACAGTTTTGTTCTGCCCCACTATGTGCTGATTCTTTTCACTGGTCAGTAGGAAACCCAGAGTTAATAAATGGTCTACTTCAGCGCCCAGACACACGTGCTGGGTTGCAGATCTCTGTTTCAATGTGTCTTTTGTTTGACGGCTGGTGTTTCAACATCCTCGACTTGAATAGAAGAAGGTCAGCCTGGTGGGGTCTGCCCCATGGTTATTCAGGAGCCCAACCTGGGGCCCCTCTGCGAATGGGGTGACTGGGAGGGGAGGGGACGGGACAGAAAACCTCCTTCTCTGTCTGACACCACCCTCATCTGTGAAGCTACTGGAAGTTGGAAGTTTTAACTCACAAATGGGGCTAAAATCAGCTTTCAATCACTCATGCATGCATGGCAGCCCACTAGTTTGACCACATCTCCCATTCTGCGTGTGAAAGTTTTAAATCCAGTTGATGTAGGAGCCCAATCAGCTCAGACGTCTGCAGGCTGCAGCTATTAAACCAAACCAGACCCCTGGATTATATGACAGAAATGTAAACAAGCAAACCCGGCCTGCTCAATATAGCTGCTATCACCACACCAGTTTCTCATGGAGCCTCAGCAGCTGGGTCCAAATTCTGATGATCGGGAAGATGCTGCTGCTGCTGCTGCTAAAAAGGAGAACACGAGGAGCATGAACTTTTCTCAGCAACATAACAAAAACAGGAGGAGCTCTCTTTGACATCTCACCAGAACGAGACAAGAAACATCTGCACGCTGTTCTGCATGCTCGATGCTCCCAAATGGGGGATTTTTCGATACACAGAAATGAAGTGCATGCACATATGGGAGAAACACACCCCCCTCCCTCTCTATTCGTGACAATGGTTAGGAAGCAGATCAGGCAAGCAGGGTTACTTTTTCCACTTGGCCATGATTTCTGCTTCCTGCACAGATGTAGAGAAAGGAGCTCAATATCTGAGGGCCCCCCCCCCCCTCCTCCTCAAGCCCCAACTGGCTCCATAATGTGCAGACAGCAGGAATTTTTGGGGGGAGTCAACTTTACCAAAGCAGGAGTGACCCACAGCAGCAGCAGCATCATCACTCCAGCCATGGGTGTGTGTGATGCTGTGGACATGTGCTGCTGTTGAAGTTCACAAACACACATTTTTTTGCAGGGATGTGATGGTGAGCGCGCTGCGGTGGATGCAGATGCACAGTTGTTCTGCAGACACACCGGACACACAGCCATGTGCACACCAGAGGATTAAACACACACGCACAATAACACGCAGGCATGGTTCATTCTGCAAAAAACGCACACAAGCGCCGGCGCTGGAGAGATCAACGCGGCATCTGTTACCACCGAAATGCACAACCTGCTCCTCGGCGGCGGCGGCAGCAGCAGCAGCCCCGCCGGTTCAACCCCGACGGTGGATAAAAACCCCACCGCCGCTCGCTCGCTCGCTCGCTCGCTTGTCGGTGTGAGCTCCGGGCTGCTCCCCGGTGCCTCCTCCAGCGGTCGCTCAAATATCGAGAAACAATCTGAGCCAAAGTGGAAACAAGCAAACAAACAAACAAACAAAAAAAACCCCTCCAGCGAGACCGAGGAGCCTCGCAGCGGCAGCGACCGGGAGCAGGCGACGGTTAAGTTTGCAGCTACTCACCGGTTCTCACGCGGAGAAAGTCCTCGGTTAGTGTTCGCCTCTCGCGTCGGTTAAATCTCGTCCCCCCTCACGGCCACTGACCGGGAATGGGCTGCACGTCAGCGGCTGAGTCGGTGAATAGAGTCGCAGTAAGTTGAAGTGTCAAATTTCATCGGCTATTCTATTACCGGAGGGACCCGTGCTCCGCGGCTGCACGCAAAACGTGTCGCGGAGTTCCGGGCGGAGGCGGAGCGGCGGGGAGAGCCGGAGAGCCGGAGAGCCCGGAGCGGAGCCGGACGGTCCCCGTGTGCCCAGCTCCAGCTCTGCTCAGCGGCCATCTGCTCCAGACACTGTGGTTACACATGCATCTGTATTTCTGTGGAATTATTAAAATAGAAACAATCTGTAACACATATTATTGATATTTACTTCCACATGTTCTAACGGGAGCTGAGCATTCTGCATATTAAATATAAATCTCCTTATTGATTCAGGCTCATTAATGGATCAGCTTATAGCTAATTGTTGTTTATTGGCATTTGAAAGGAAATCGAATCTCTACTTAAAAGGCCAATAATGGGGAAACTAGTATGATAACAATTACATCCAACATCATCTTTAATAACGATGATAATAATAGCAGCAGCCAAATAGTACATGTGAAATACAGATATTAAATATAACAACAACATCATAACAACAATATTCAAACTGCCATTACAACAGTCAATAATAATCAACTCTGTGTTTTTATCATCAGAATATATTTATATCAAAATAAAAGTCCACTATAATAGTTCAAATAGCCTAAACGGCAACAAACGCACGCAGGCGCACACTGTCCCATGATCCTCCGCGGAGATGACGCCACCCTCCGTGTTTTGCAGGTCGCCACTGTGTGATGGAAAGCTCTGAATAACAAAGACATGTTTGAGAGCAGCAGCAGCAGCAGCAGCAGACTGGGCTGAGAGCTGACGTCAAGGAGCCATGAGTGAGCCAAGCAGCATCCACACACACACACACACACACACACACACTGACCTGCCACTGTGACCTGTTTGGAAGCATCAAAAGTTACAAACACACCACCCTGCATGCTGTGATTGACTCTCAAAGATTGGGATCAGAAGCTCTCACACAAGCCACCACACTGCTGACACACTCTGCTGGTGTGTGCGTGTGTGTGTGTGTGGACCCCTGAGAGCCCCCATGCTCTCTGGCCTGTGCATCTACCCCAGCTGTCTAAGTTAGGGGGAGGGATGTGCTGGAACAATAGGCGCCATTTGTCCTGCTAAAAGGTGACAGGAAGCATTGATTTCAGCCTGTTCCAGCCTTGTAAGCCATCCTCGAATTGGCTAATGTGAGCATTTCCCTCTGATGGAGATTGGAATTTTTTTTTTTTAGGTGATTGTGATTCACGGCAATTGCATCGGGATGCAGGAGCAAACTTTTGATTCCAGGATACCAAAGCCCCATCAATTTTATCGAGCCGCTAATTACAATAAAGCCCTCTATAGTTTTCAGTAGGTGATTGTTGCAAGGTGCATAAACACAAACAGCTTAAATATGGACAAGTGCTACAAGTTAAACAAAAACAAATAAATAAGAAAAGCTCAAGTTAGATCCGAACCACTGACAAATTGGTTTAATTAAAGCCAGCTATAGATATGTAAGTTACTTTGTAGTCTACAGCGAATCAAAAACACGAAACCTCTCTGAAAACTAAGAGTGAATACAATATACATTATCGATGTAGAAATCAATCAAATGCCTGATCAGTTAGTTTATCGACAGAAGATTATCCAACAATTATAATACTTAAATTGAACTTTTCATTTATATTTTACTAATGTTAAAATTGTATGAATAGACAAATTAAGCATAATGTAGAAGGCTGAGTTGTTCTATATTTAATACCTTATTGTTAATGGAGCAGCCGTTTGGTGCTCATTTTTAAACCGTTGCCTATTAAATAGCTAAAAATAACTCTCAATCACTAATTTGTCTCAGGCCACTTAAGCTTGTCTCACTCAGCCCGAGGATCTATTCCTGTGATAAATTTTGTATATGGTTAAATATGCGAGCCACCAACAGACTGGGGTGTAACAGTTAAAGTTCAGGGTCAGCATCGTCACACTACGTCAGGATTTAGGCGCCTGATGCATAAAGAAAATTGACAATGCAGCGAAACTTTCGACATAATATTCCACTGTCATGATACAACATCTTCCTTCCCCATCGTTCCACTGGGATGTTTTTTAAAAGGATCGACCTGTCAGACCTGTGATCACAGCATTGCCACCCCGTCTCTCGCTCTCTCTGGAGATGATGATGTGACGTCTGTCTCGGGACGACGTACACCAGCGCAGGACAGACTCACTGATCCAAATATAGAGGAGAATTTTCCTTATCACAACTGGGTCAAGGAGACAGAGTCAAACAGACTGCCAGTGAAATTCTTTAAAAATTAAATGCGAAGGGATGTATCTCTAGTACCTCCCTCCCTCCCTATCTACCCACCTGCCTATTCTACCTGCAGCTTGGTGGAGAACAAAATCAAGCGTAAAGGAGAGTGAATATTGGACTTACATTCACCAGATGGACACAAACATGAATCTTATCTGCTGAATGTAAGTAAGCATATGTTTTCTAACACGTGAGCAAGATCCCCTTCATAAGATGATGAATATTAATGTTGTGTTACATCTGGTTTCACTGCGCTCGAGTTTAAAAGAAAATTAAAGTTTAAAGGATTGCATCAGTGATCATAATGGCTGAGCAAAGCGCTGTTTCTGATTTCCTTCAGTCTCTGATTCTCATGAAGTTCAGTCTGTTGCTGGTTCAGACTGTTTAGCTCTGTTTCAGTACGTTCATATAAACACAGTTTCTACAGATAATACCCACGCAACCACCTGCACTGAGTTACCACATCATGTAAGGTTTCAACCAATGATTTGACATACTATATGTTGTGCTCCGCTTCAACGCAGAAAGCTGCTGATTCAGCCAGTGACACTGATAATTCAGGACATTCTGTTCAGGATTTATTTGTTCATGTACTGAAAACATCCAACAGGCAATTCTAATCCACCAAAAACAGCCAGTGCCAAATGACTGTAGAATGTTGAATGCAGAGTTTATTTCTGTCTCTCTCACTAACTCTGCATCCAGCACTCTTCATATTTGTAATAAGCATTTTAATGTCCCCATCTGTGTCTTTTATACTTTGTTATTTGTTGATGTCTTGTTCAGGTTGGTTATCCGTTGATTGGCTTGGTTTTATTTTTGGGAGGTGAAGCCAAAGGCAAATGTGCAACTTGTGGATAATAAAGACCCTAACCAACCAAATAACTACATACTAACACAAACACACTGTGTGTTCTTGTTTTTGTTACCTCTTTAGGACCTTTGTTGCCCTTGTCAGGATCAGAAGACCTAATGAGGAACAAAGCTCGGTCATAAGGAGGCAAAACTTAATTTCTGAAGTCCAGGTTTAGGTTTAGGTTAGGTATGAATTGGTCATGGTTGAGGTTCGGGATAAGGTTTTGGTTAGTCTGTCCAGGAAATGTAATGGATTATATTTTTACAAAGATAACAAGGACATATTTTCAAGGCACAAATCGGCTGTAAAACGTTCACACTGAACTTATCTGCAGGACCATCACTGTTAACACCGTATTTCATTTGCCCCCAAACTTGCTTGTGGCAACTCAGGCAGGACTGCACAAGTCGAATCACTTGTTAAGGCAAGGAGGGGATCGACTGCTGTCCTCATAAAAAAGAGAACATGTAAATCACATCTGTAATGTTTCAATATTTTAAAATCTTTCCCCAACCTTGGTTTTTCTGTGTCCCATATAATGGATACTGGATATTAATGTAATATTTAGGGAAACAGAGTTGATGATAACTTCTCTCAAAGCATATTGACATTGCTGTCAGTGTGAGTACATTTTATTAGAGGGATTTACTTGGTGTTACACCCCATAAAGGCCCATATTGTCTTGTAGTCGAGGTGTTTTGCCAGATTCCTCTCATGAAGATGAATGAACTGTAAGAGCCAGTATCATTTTTCACCATGTCTAGTTATGTTAAATTATGAGAACTTTCATTATATAAATACTCTTCGTGTTGAATGGTATAAATATTCATACATTTCCGCACTTGTGTTTATCTTCTCTTAATGTTTGTGTGAAGATTATATTTGCCACATGCACTGTATATAAACCCTTTCAGAGGATTATAACATACATTGCCAGTGTCAGACACCCGCGCCTCCTGCTGCTCCTTACATAAAATCTGCACAATGTGATCTTTGAGGAGTGTGGGCAGGGAGATGTCTGTGTTTTCATTTACAGTTTCCACCTGGTTTATGAATGAACAACCGCCAGGCTCCAGAGAACAGCCCACATCCTCTGCAACCAACCAACCACTGGCCGTCTTCCAGTCCAAATGTGTGCACCGTGAAACACTCCACTCCGCTGTGGACAGAGAGCTCCTGCCGCTGCGTAGAAAGTCTGAAAATATGGAAGCAGATAGTGTTGGATTTTACCTTCCATAGTGTCATGTTCAAAATATGTGTTGGCATATTTCTTTATCTTTAGTAGGGTTTTATTCCACCAAGCACTTGTCTGTTGTGTTGCAGGATTGTGTGACTTGTTGATCATGTGGAATCTGGTCAGCGAATAAGATCACAATGGATGGAGGGAATCAGAAGGGCAATGAGGACGAGGACAGGACTCTGCGAACAGAGGAGATGACTGCTGCACTGGGAAACGTGTTTAACCCCATTGATTCTCATTACAGCAGGAGAGGCAGACAGAGAGAGCACAGACATACCTCGACAGGTTTGTGCTGAGGCCTCCTGATGATTTCCTCCCCTCGACTTTTCCCTTTTTTTTGTCAGCAGCACCAGAAGAAAGAGCAGGCTGCTGGCATCCCATGCTGCTCTGCTTTTCAGGAGGGGGGGTGGGGGGGGAGAGCCAATCAATTTGTGTTCATAAAGGGGGAAGAGCATTCAGAAAGCCAACTGTTCCCTGAGGCCATGGGCGATGAATAAGTGGGAGAGACACAGGGAGACAGTCAGAGAGATGGTGGATGGTGGATTGTGGTGGTGGATCATGATCGTGGACTGTTGGACTAGTTGATCAAAATAAAATGGCAAAAGCGAAATAGAACGATTTTTTGTTATTATTGAAAATGACACATCCCATCAATCCACCTTTTAATGTTCTTTAGTAAAAACCGTTTTTCATTTGAACCCATCAACAAA